CTGTAGCGAATGAGTTTTACAAGAGTGATTTCGAGCGACATTTCAATTTCGTTTCGCGCAGTTTTTCAGCAACTGCGGAGTGGTTTAACACTGCAAACCACTTAAGACTACAGATACTAACCAAGTGCGGCAGTAAAGGGGATGTGATCAAGAGGGCTTCGTCCAAGGACTACTGTAGGGTAACGCACAAGGCGGCACAATAGCCAAGCACGTGTACTTTTGTCGATATATTTTATTTTAGTTTGCTTATTGGCAGTTTCACACAGCTGAATTTTATTCCCACTCTGTTACATGGTATGGTATGTAGATACAAGCATGTGTACGTCATGGTAAAATCGACCTGGCTCCAGGAACATCAACATGGATTTCCCCTGAGAGTGTATGAGGCCAGTTAGGTGTCTCTGGGAATTAAGGCTAGCGTAAGGTTTTACGTGGACTCCACACTGCACCCTCGTGGTTATTTATTTTGGTCTATGAAACGCGTTAACCATTGGTGATGCGCTACATTGGTGATATTTGTATTTGCAAACTTACATCTGTATTGCGGAATCAGGTAGATATTAAATTCATTCGAACATCGTTCTGTACAGTGTATCTTGCTGCGTACTGTAATTAGAATGTAAACCATTAATGTGCGTACTGGTGTAATCAAAATCTATGCGCATAGATCCAAGATAAGCTACAATATTAAACCGTGATCAAGCAAGATTTTTTAAAACTATTAATTGTACAAATACTCTGTCTTAAATCAAATATTTTACTATTTATTTTATACTGTCCAACGGTCCAACAAGGGACACGGTTAATCCGAACTCTGCATACACGCGGTTCTACGGTCGAACCTTACGAACCATGAAACAGAGACGAAGCCTTTAGTCAAATGTAGCAGTAATTGCTGTCTATGATGCTCCCTAAAGAATATGGAAGGCATCCGATTTAAAGTACCTGAGGTCCGAAACGTGCTTGGTTATTGCATTACTACATTCAGCTCTTTGTGAGTTTCCTGAATTAAAACCCTTTGAAAGCGGTCACAATATGACAATGATACATTCTCACTCCAAAAATATACCCGGCGGCTTTATACTGAATGGCATCCGTCCTTGTTTTCTAATCCTCCGGCTTTGCGGACACGGCCTGTTTCCACTTCAGAATATTCAGAAGCAGCCCTTCTGGAAGCGTATTGCGCAAATTGCCTGGAGAATATGGGTGGTGGTCTATTTCATTTGGATGGCGATGAGCTTTTCTCTTCTGCTGTACAAAAGAAATGCGAATTCTTCCAGAATACAAAGCGTGCCAATTCAGGACCGGGTGAGCGAGGCGTTAGCCGGCGTACAGTTTGTTAGCCTGTTTTTGGTGTGCGTTCTGGTAATGAGAGTGCATACTGGCATCGAGCATGTGGTGCGCCATATTGACCAGTTCAGTGAAACCAAGTGGAATGCAGACACACGAAAGTGGTGGTGCCTGTTTTATAACATATTCTACTTAAACGCCATTGGAATGTATGGTTATCGTTTATGGCCCCTTATCAGGGCGACATTTATTGCCGGAAACGGGACAGAAGTTTCTGGACTGCTTTGGCTGCTGCAAAACTCACAGGACACCCATCCTGTAATATATTCTGCGATACGGTGGTTAAGCTTTGGGCACCAGTGTATCTATCTCATACATGTTACCCTTGTGCAGCTTATGATTTCCTTGACGGGTGTCGCTTTTGTACTCTGTTTGCGCGAAATCAAGTACTCCTTAGTTAGAGCCGTCGCACAAGACCATGCAAAAGTCGAAGAAATTCTCAGCGAGCACGCGACAGTGATTGAGGAGATCGAGGATCTGGATTCCCTGCTGGCGTATCCCAATTTGATTGTCTACCTGTTTTATGTGCTGTCTCTCATGTTGGGCGTGACCTTTCTAACCGGCAACAATGCTATACCTGGTAGCGGGCAAACGGTCATGTTGGCCATTTACGGACTTTCAGTTCTTACTGCTGGTTTTGTAGCTGCCAACGCTCAGGTAATTATGCATTCGTACACCGAAAAAACGTCACATAAATAAAAATGACATTATCGTTTACGTTTAATAAAAAATTTGAGAAACCATACGAGTGTGGTTTCGGGTTCTTATGGACGGATTGTTTAACAGGCGGAAGCCATTGTGCCAACAATATTCAAGTGCTTGCGTTTCGTCGAAGTCCAGGAAACGCGCTATAAACTATCATATTACGTCACTCAGATTCAGACCAGCCGAGTTGGTTTTACGATTGGAAAGTTTTTCCTTGTGGACCGTGCTTTTGTAGTGTCGGTACGAGTTTTGCTGTCAGAAATTTCACGTTTGCGCTACAGTAACTGCAGAGATTCTGGTTTTGCTACCCTTATTTTTCATAATGTTTAGCTCGCTGGTGCTCTTACGACGTACGCGTTAGTCATTGTGGAGTTAGGGGAGGATTTGTCTCCAGAGGACATTGAGCGCTTAAAGACAACATTTCACGAAAATTGTTCGAACTCATCAATAAGGGGATCCATCTAACCGCAGGAATTTATTGGCATTTATTTAGTGCCATATTCATGTGTATTGCTTAAATGCGTATTTTACTGGCACACTTATATTACTATAGCCTTCATTTTCTGTACCACCTCCAGTTTTTAGCAGTTACTTCGAAACTGAAAGGACTAGGATGCTCCCATTATGCCGAAATTAAGTAAATCAGCTATCTCTAATGGAATTTCGCCATGCACGCTTAATTTCACCCCATTCAAAGAAAATCAACAGAACCCGACAACATTAATGCAGAATTATGCCCCCCCCCCCCCCAGGGTTTGGGGTTTGTTTTTAGTTTAGACGACTGATGAGTGATGAGAAACTAATGCGCAGGCAACACACAGGTGCTAACACAAATACAGGTAAAATACTTTATTAATACTTTATTTGGCATAGCAGATTGAAATGGAGGAGATTGCCTTGGAGTGCAGATCTTTACACATTTATGCCGATATATGCCGGTTCTGTTTGAATAGAAAATGGGACGCTCACCGTGACCGTTTATGAGTTTTGCCGTGGAAGACGATGCAAGGCGACATTTACTGTGCACACAACACGGTCACTTTAATGAAAACACGGTTAAACATGTTACCTTTAAAAATGTAGAAACTTTGTGGGAGATCTGTAGGACAAATAGTAGAATAAGGCCTCCAACTAAACGCTTATTTTTACGGTCATTGACGGAATGATGCACAGATACACAATTACTTCTAATGTGCATGAGATATCGTACAATGTATGGTACATGTACAAGCCGGTCCGGAAATTTAACACGTTAAGATACAGCTCGTGCATGCTCAGAGCACTGTCAGCGCTTTGCAGGATGGCCACTACAGATACGATACAATTGTTGCAACGAAAAACTGCTTCGCAGCCAGATCGCCTCTATTGCGCCGACTTTCGTCTAACCACAATCCACCCGGCGATTACGGTTATCGTGATTCGTTAATACGAGTGTTCCTGAATATTAGGCCTGCACCAGCCAGCCAGGCCAAAAGCATGTAAGAAACCCGAGTGGCGTGACGTATTATATAATTATGTAGTTTGGCGTAAGTCGCGTATCCCATGAATTAACATTTTCGCTGTTTTCTTTTCGTGCTAATCATCCGGACCGGCTAGTACACTAAGGCAGAATAAAATAAAAATACTTCTTGATCGCCAGCTTGTGACCTTTGCGTATGCGTGCCGGTTTATCTTGGTTGGAAGTGGACCGAACGCGGGCCGCCGACCGTTGCCGGTGTCGCCGTGGAATACGATACAATCCGACTGGCTGACCTTTTGGAAGACTGTGATACAACCCCCCCCCCCACATGCTGTGGTCAGCATCGTGTGAACTTGTTGTCGGTACTCCTTGCTGACCGCCAGATATACGAAGAAGTTCAGCGAATAATTAGCATCTCTAGGACATTACACAGCGGTACCAATCTCTCTTCGCTCACTGGCCTCTAACAACGCTGCAGATACGTGAACGTCTGGCTGAGAACCGATACGATACGCCTCAAATCGCCCGCGGAAGCCAGCCGTGACGGTCGACCCATAATTCTCCGGCAGGCGATACTCTCGCAGCACGAAGGCATTCGGCTGCACTGCCAGTCCGGCCAAATTTATCGCCAACAGCGGAAAACGTAATTGTTCAACGGGGAACAGTTAAGTTTGTTCACGTCCTTCAATCTGGACTTCCGCGACGACCAAGCTGACGTTGCACAAGGGCAAGAACTTGACCTTACTGGCAAGTCGCCCAGGGTGCCATAACCATGCACCATTTGGGTGTTTTCGGCAGAGTGCTTGAACGGTGGCATTCTCCGTCGCCGCGGGGTTCAGCCACAGTTCGTCACGCCAGTCTCGGTAACCGGCCGAGCATGGGGCAACGAAGGCGTCGAAGATTTTGTCGTAGCTGACGAACTGCGCGCGCTGTCCGCTGCAATGGAAATCCACGATCAGACCGTCCTCCGCTACGTTAATCACTTCATCGTGCTGGAAGAGACCGCTCTCCGTCAGTATATTCACCGAATTCCATTGGTACACGGGATGACTGGCACTGCCAAAGCGTCTTCCTCCATAAAGATGCATTTTCAACTGCTTAACGTAAAAGCTCCTGCACAGATACCAGTACTCGTTTACAAGCAAAATAGTGAAAATACCGTGATGGATGCGAGGCTAATGAAAGCACTTACAAAGAAGAAAGTCACAATAATATGACAGTCTCACTATTAAACATTTGATCATAACGATTTGATTCTATCGCTTTAGCTGATGATTTTCAAATTCATCACATTTTACTAATGTTGGTCTGGCAAGTGATTCGAACTGAGAACTGACAAGCGACTTGAAGCCAGGCAGAATCAGCCGTCGCTGCCGACAGAAGGTGGTTGGAACTTGGACACCGCAAATTGGACACTTAGCATGCTGCCAAAATTGTCGACAAAATCGGCAAAACGCTGGTTTTTTCAAAATCATCTTGTCCGATACTTGTTCGCCGATATCATGTACGTGCAACAAACATTGAAAATTATTTTCTCCCGATAACCGTTTCTCAGGTTCTTAGAATAAATGCGTTTATGTTAAAGAAGACTTAGTATCCTTGATTAAAAACAGTTCGGAAAACTGAAAGTATTTTACATCAATCTACTACCTATCAGAAATGCGAGAAACTCATGATAACATCAGAGGCAAAAAAATTATCGGCCCTAAATAGTTATCATAAAACAGCGGCCCAGTCCAGTAACAGAACGAGAAATCTCTTGGAGAGGTCAGGTTTCGATAGCGGGTTGCATATGTCAGAAACCTATGACAAACTTTCCATTAATGCAATTATTTCGCTTCTTCCATGTCATCCGGAAGGCGTTCCTTCAAAGCACGCAGCGTGATGGTGGTCAGCTTGGCCACATCCAGATCCTGCAGGTTATCCACTGTCCACTCGTGACCGCGATAATGTACTGTTGATCGCGGATCATAACTCTGCCAGTCCACCAGATACTGCAATCGAAAGGAAACCTCAACTTTTAAGTAAACGGCTTGCGCTAATGAAAATCAAAATTTTGTTTTCATGCCTTCAAGACTTCCGGTGATTTAAGACTCGTAAATTTTATTTAGCTGTTATTGAGTTAAATAAATTTATTATTTATTATTTTATAATTTATTTATTTTTGATTATTTATTCATTTACTATTTAGGTTTAATTTATTTAATATTTTTATTTAGATTTAAATAAGTTTTATTATTACTTGTAGGCAATTTATTTCCTCGAAACAAATTTAATTTTCAAATAATTATTAATTTTATGTTAGATAGTCATGCAGCGTAAAAGTAAATGTGTGACCTTTTCCTTAGTTGTGAATCGCAAAATATCAGGGAAACAACCGGGTATCGACGAATCATAAGCAGTCAAAAATGTCGGTAGAAATAACACCAACAAAAAAAACGCTAAATGGACCTTACCTGCGCAACCATCATGCGAAGCTCCTCCGATCCGGTGCGTATCCACTCCGCGGTCTCCTCGAGGTTGATTCCGTCGCGGGACAAATGCGCCTCATACAGATTCCACAGTTGCGCCTCAATGTCCGCGGCATCCAATGTGATCGTCGCATGTGGAATAACTGCGGTCATTTTCCCTTCGATACACGTGAACTCACAACGGCGCAGTCGCAACTCATCGCAGTACGGCGCCCAATTCCGCAGCGTCTTGGCCAGGCGCCGGATGAACGTCTTCCCCCCATCGGACACCTCGAAAGCAACGACACCGCTGCTTGTGTAGTCGTGCTCAAAACTATCATCCCAGTCCATCTCCACATGATGGAATATCAACTGTTTCAGTCGGAGGTTTTTCAGCGCGTACTTCAGCACCCCCAGTACACCCTCCACATGTTCCGCCACCGGATGCTCGATGATGATCCGTTCCGTGGTGGCCGTGGAGCATTTCAGCAGGCCGCCGACGGCGCCAAACAGCTGGAAGAAACGTCCCTTTTCCTGTGTGGAAAACGGGTTCTTTCGGAAGGAAACACGGACCGTTTTCGCGCTGTCGGCGCCGGTCAGCACGGTGTTCCACAGCGGGCACACGCGACGCAGTTTCAGCAGACTGACGCTGTCCAGTGAGTCGAAGATCTCGCGCAAGAGATGCGGGGCGGTTGGCAGCACCCATTCCACTTCCGGTTGGGCATCGTCGTCGGGGTGTTTGCGCTTGCGGCTCGATTCCACAACAGTTGGCAACTGTGGTTCAGGAGTATCATCTTCATCAGAGTTCTGCCGCTCGGAGGATGGTTCCGTGCTCGACTTGTACACCTTTTGCTGCAAAACCATCACACATTGGCAACGGGAAGCGACCCGGTACACTGATACGAACTAGCCCCACATTAATCTTAAGAAATCTTTATGGTTTACTTCCGTGCCTAAACTTGATTTCAAAGCAATGTATCCGGACAAAGGCAAGCCATAAAAACTAAATCTACTTATCTCCAACCGGAAGTTGTAAACGTTATCAATCGACCAGAATATTTTTGTTTAGTTTGGCTGAAGTACTACGGTATCCCGATATTTGATATACTTGTATTTCGATGATAGTTTATGGCCTCGTCCCGAATTCGAAGCGTATCTCGTTGCGATACAGCAACTCCACCTCGCGAGGTGGCTTCGCGCACCGTATCTGTAAGCGTGGCCACTGCATACAGCCACCTCGTGCGGTTGAGCAACCGTACCATAGCGAGATTCGCTTCGAATTCGGGACAAGGCCTATGTGTAAAAGTGAACGAATGTGAGAAGTAGATCTAGAACAGTCCCACAAAATGCACGACCAAATTTTTTTGGGAAAAGATCGTTTAAAACAGAGGCTTGACCAGAGGCAACATCTCTGAACAGAATCTGTCGCTATATGCCCATTATTGCTGCAAGCAAATGCTGCTTTCAGAATTCATGCTTTTCCAAATCCGTACTGGTAACTGGTAAGTGATACTAACAGCAGTTTCAATTGCTAAAACTGATCGCTTTATTGGCTGAGTCATATCCAGTAAAAAAATGTTTAAAAATCACACAAAACTACAACAGGAAAATACCGTGCAGTTTATCGTGTCAGCGCTCACTCTGTATTCTCCCTTTGGATTTCTATCGATAAACGCTGCTTTAGAAATTTTTGCGAACGTGCTTCTACCGTGTGTTGCTGCAGTCGTTTCTCTATTAGTTTGATTACAGCGATCGCTGTAGGTCCCCACCGGGCCCGAGCGTTTCGAAAGCGATCGGCACGAACAGGTAACAGCCATCCAAATAGAGTACAATCTGGATTTCTTTTTCACAGGTTGCACGGCGGCCGCTCCCGCCATGGCGGAAGTGGCTTCGATTTGCGACTACGCAACCGCGTCCATGCATGTCACGTACCACCCACGTCCCATGCGAAACACAACCTGCATTTCCAGGCGAATGTCGTGCAGCAGTCCGGGCGGCGTTCGGAAATGTGAGAGGAGCCACGCAGCTCCAGTTTTGCAGGATACACAACCACTGCAAAAGATGCTGTTTAACCCGCCGTGACGCGGATGCAGTCCGGCGGAAAATGCACATGACAGACCGTGGCGCACAAAACAATCCACTTGTTTATGGCATTTGACACAGTCATGAGGGTCGCAGATTGTGGCACTGAGGCGGAGACCAATGCTGATCTTTAATTCGTCGTCGCCCAGCAGACTGCCGATGTGAGCCCAACACTGAGCGTTTAGCCAGAGGCCGGCTTCCGACCTAGACTGGGCAAGCAAACGCGCTGTACTGACATCGTCACCTGAGAGTAGTTCCAGCAAGGCTCATAAAGCGGCGTTGCATAACGGTAAGTCCCAGGCCTTTGAGACCTCCAGAATCGCTAGTTCCAGAAGCACCGGCAGACAAGCTTTCACATTCCATGACTCCATAGCGCCAGCAAGGTCGACAACGCCGTGCTTAGGAAGTATTAGTGCAGACAACCAGTCGGATACGGAATGAATCGGAGCCAAGAAGGTTGGTACAGATAATTTTTCTGACCGTTGGATGCCCATTCCAGACATAACAATTAAAATAATTTCTTGGAAGTCGTAACACCAGAGCCTCGTAAAGTCAGTTACCTGACTCAGCCATGAATTCGTCATCTTGTCGTTACCTTTTCGCTGCCGTTCTATAAACATGAAACGCTCAGAAAAATTACGTAAAGAAACTGTCAGTGGGTGTTACTGTGTATGTTACCGTGGGTGTTAAAGTGAGTATCTATCATAATGGAAATGCAGTGACTAACCTTTCATTTCTTCGTCGCAGTTACTCTCAAAGGCCCCGCCGTCATCACCCTACCGAACGACATGCGGTACCGTCGAAACCAGCAGCCAATGATGAGCCTTGATGACGGTACTGCAGTTCAAGGCCACGATCCAGAGGGCCGGCAGGGTCATTGTAGGCTCCACCTGCTGTACTGCGGCAGTGCCGTTGTTGGTCAGCATTAGGCGCTTCAGATTGGGCGTGGTCCGTTACAAAGACCGCCGCTGTGGATTGTTCTCACCGAACCCGGAAGCGCTGTACGAAAACAATCGCATTCTTGGGCAAATGGTTACGTACCGCTTTAAAGGGAAAAAAATACTGGGTAAATCTTTGCCACAATTTTTAACGTGGTGAATAATTTTAATGGAGGTTTAACCCGTTCCACACGAAGCGTGTTAGGCCGATAGGGTGGAGGACTTAATTTCTGTAGCTTTTCTGAACGCGATTCAGTCACTTTCAATGGTTTATCACAAAGAGTAGATGTTATATGACAGTTACAAAAATACCACAATTCCAGACAACAGCGCAGTTACGCACACCGAGAGCTTAAAGTTGGTCAAATCAGAGCTGACGGAGACCGTGAAGGTCTCCATGGTCTACACACTTTCAGAGCCTTTCTATAATTCCGTAAAAAATGTCACGCGTAATTCTCATAGAGTTGAACTTAAAAAAACGCAACTAGAGGAAAAAGCAATAGCCAGTGGCCTTCGGTGGTCTTCGAAACTTTTCGTGTCGAGTTTGACATGGATGGGCATTAAGCTCTCAGGCAAACAGGGAAAAAAAATGAGAAGCGCTAAGTAATCAGCTATCAAAATTCGGCGAGATCCTCCAACGAGATATTGGCTTCCCCGTACTGCAATGGTGTTAATTTTAGGAAAAAACGCTTGATAATTCAATAGACCTACACGGGAAGCATAAAACTGCGAACTCACGTCTTTGTGCTCGTTGTTGCCAAGGAATACCTTCCCAATGGCGACCACCAATTCAATCGGATAAACAACAGTATGAATGTATCCCAATTTGTTGGCATTCTGCATCCGTAAAAAAATTATAAATTTAACTATGGATTTGTAAAATATGCAAATCGTAATATGATGTCGATAAAAAAACAGCAGTTTCTCCACACCTTGAGCTTCCAATAAATCGCACGATATATATCGCTGCGGGCCTTCTTCCCACTGTGGCCAAGGTCCAGCTGTTTCTGAACAGCTGATTCAAGCCATTTTGGCAAAACCAATCCATTTTCAACAAATAATTCACTGACAGGCTCCATTACGACAGAAAATGATATTTGCGAGTTAGATAGAGCAATAATATCACAAAATTCCTGGAATACGTGGCATCACGATGAGCACATGAATAATTATGAAAATGAGATTGTGCATACTTGGAGCACTAGGTCAGTGGTGGACGGCTGGGACAGCTAACTTTTCCAGTCGTAAGTTCATTGTTTCACAGTCCTTTATAAGATACCACAGCTAAAGATTTTTGCTGGCGCGCATCATTTCTTGGTTTTTTGGCTAAGTCGCGCACTTATTTGCGCGTCTTTCATTTTTCATTCCGCACGAACATTTCTCTGAAACGTCTGGAAGAAATATTTTTAAAATGCCTCAAACACGAGCAAGAACGTTGCGTGAAGCCCAAAACATCTTGTAAGATTTGGCAACTATACCACATGGCGAAGTTGACATTGTCTGCCTGCCACCGGATGTTGCTAGCTGCTCCGACGAAGAAGACATCGATGACAACGACCTGAGCCCGCAGCTTCCTACCGATGTTTCGGGAGAGCATGAAGTCTGCTACGACAGCGATACCGACGACCAGCCGTGTGCACCCGAACAGCCGTCTAAGAAGCGAAAAGGTACGTAGCCATTAAATTTTCACAAAAATCTGGCGATATTTCAGATGGTTTCAACAGGTGCGGCCCGTGGCCGGCCCGAAGTGCCATGGGCGAATGGGGAAACGAACTTTCTGCCAATGTACAATGATCCCAACAACGTTCCTGTCAAACTGGCAAATGCACACCCTGAGTTGATTTCAGGTACACCTCTGGAGCTGTTCAACATGTATTTCGATGGAGAAGTTTCGGAATGAATCATAAGAGAATCTGAACTCTACGCTGCCCAGAAGAACGCCAACTTTACCTTGTCGCCGGAAGAACTACGCATTTTTGTGGGAACTCTGATTTACAGCGGCATTGTGAAACTGCCATCACAGCGACATTATTGGATGTGGTCAGCATGGTTTGAGTTCCCCTGCGTTTCGACAAAGATATCCCGAACCCGCTTTGAGGTATGTCCAGTTGCAAAAATTCCCTCCAGGGGGTTTTCCTAAATAACTCCATAACGAGCCAGAATTCGTACTTCCGGTCCAGCAGACAATTTGTTGCTAAAAATGGGAGGAATATAAATCAGAAGAAAATTTTGCGAAACACTTAGTATTTTGGCGGTGGTGGTGTTTTCCCAAGGGGGGAAACTTTTGGAAAATGAAAAGTTTAGTATATAATACAGTATTCAATCACCGTACTTTCATTGTAGGAAATAAAAATTCCTTCATCTGGCTGAGAACAAAAACCTGTTGCAAGGTGATAAGCTGGCAAGGTCAATCCATTCTTGGCGATTTTGAAGAAGAGGTTACTGCAGTTTGGATGGTTTGAATCGAACCTCAGCGTGGACGAACAAATGATCCCATACTTCGGACATGCCGATTTGGATGTAAGCTGTGGGTGATTTGCGGAGCAAGTGGCTATCCATTCTCCCTTGCGGCATACACCGGAAAGGAAGGTACACCTAACCTGATACCTCTTGGCTTAAGAGTGGTTCTGTCTTTGATCGAGAAAGTTGACCATCCTGAATTCCATACATTGTACTTCGATAACTTTACTTCGTACAACTTGCTTGTTGAATTACGACAACTCAATTTCAAAGCTACCGGCACTGTACGCGAAAACCGTCTGCTGCATTGCCCATTTCCGGATAACAAAGGTTGCAAAAAGACCGTGAGTGGCCATCACGCAACGTTTTCTCCGCTGGATGTGGTCACCGTTAAGTGGCACGACAATACTCCAGTTTGTCTGGCCTCAAACTGCGAGACTGTCGCGCCACTAGGGAAAGCAAGACGATAAAACGCATCGGTGAAAAATCACGTCAACATTGACCAGCCAAAAATGATCGGCAGCTATCACAAGTACATGGGCGGTGTGGATTTATGCGACAGGTTCATCAGGGATTACCGTCCGATGATTCGGACGAAGAAGTGGTGGTGGCCATTCTTTGCCAACTCGATTTCTCTGATGACTGTAGCAGCGTGGCGTATTCACAGAGAGGTAGGCGGAAACCTGACACAGATGCAGTTTTTATCGGTAGTCGTCGAAGGGTTGCTTCTGACGGGACTGCAAAAGCCGGCTCGTCTTGGACCTTCAACACCAGTGACCAGCACTGTCCGGTTTGGCAGGATCAATCACATTGTGGAAAAATGCAAGCGAGGCCACTGCAAATACTGCCGGCGAAGTTCAGCTTGACAGAAGTGCGGGAAGTTCAATGTCCGTTTGCACAAGGCCTGCTCCCCGTTATACCACAAACGTAAAGTATGAAACTTGATTTTCTTCCCTGGAAAATGGTTTCCAGTTTTTTCTCATTTTCCACTGACTGTTTGTGTGATGAAACGACTGTGCCGGTTGCAATCTGTATTTCTGCACTTTTTTATTTTTCTCTTGACCAATGGTCATTACGATGACCATCACAATGCTTTTGTTTTAAGTACTCGTTGAGACCTATTGTTTGAGCTATTGTCGTATCCTCTGTGATTTTTGTAACTATTGTTATAAACGTTAAGAGATAACATGTCGGCTAAACATGGTTTCCCTGCGTGCTATTTCCACATGGTCATCTCCCGCTTGACCTATGGTCGCTAAAATTGTGAAAAAATGTTTTTCTTTTAATTAAATTTTTTTATCCCAGACTGCAAATTTTCAAAACCGTAGTCCCATCCCTTCTAGTACCCGATTTTCCTGGGTTAAATATATGTAATTTTTGTATGGGGTTCTACACAGAAAACTTTCTGACTTCCGGTTTGTATAATAAAATCCTCGGTATCGATGCAGAAACGTCAACATCTGCACAGGCCTCTTTTGCACCCAATTAAAATTAAAATTTTACATTCCTGAAATACTCCTTAAAAGATATTGGATCTACTTCAAATTACAATCCTGTCTGACTACCGTAAAGTGTGGTGTGACCGTACGACAATTTGTAACCAGTACAGCAACTAAAAAGTATTTACCCACTGGCTGCTTTACTACTGTCAGGTTTTTTTGAAAAATTAACGAATGCATTTTGATGAACAATTTTATCGAATCCCCATTCCACACAATTGTGGACCTGCTCACGTCTTCGTTAAACTGTTGCTGATCATCGGACAATGGAGTCTTGCGCCTTCGAAATGGAGCACTGATTACTGATTTGATAGGAATCCAGGATCATCATGCGAAATGAATTTGGGTCATTATACAATATGAACTTCTTCTCAATATCTGTAATTTTAGCTCGTAATTTATCCATCTGCTTGCTGTAAGCAAGAATCTTTGCATCGCGCCTCCTCCCCGGTCACGTTGTCCGTGGTCATTCATTCCAAGCAACCCGTGAAGTCCGGTGATGAACTTGACCTTGATCGTCCCGAGCGCCTTCGTCAGCATGGCCGATGGATTTCGACTCCGTTGGAATATAGCTCACCTCAATCGATCTAGCTTTCGTTTCCTGCCGGATTTTATGGTAGCGAATTCTGACATGTTTCGCCCACTTATGGAATTCGTGATCTTTCGACAAGGCAATCGCGCCTTGATTATCAACATACATCTGGGTGGCCTTGGTCTTGTCCACTCCGAGCGCATCCAAAAACATTCTACTCCACTCGTTTTGTTTATTTGCCTCGGCCAGTAACATGTATTCAGCGTCCGTTGCGGAGAATGCCTTCACTTTCTTTAATTTCGAACTCCACGCAACAGATCCGCCTTCCAGAGTGAACACGTATCCGGAAGTAGATTTCCGTTCTTCCATATCGTCGCCCCAGTCCGAGTCGCAGTAACCGTCCAACTTCATGTGTTCTGTACGATACGTTAATGATAAGCTCAGTGTTGCTTCAAGTAACGCATTACCCGTTTAACGGCGGTTCAGTGGTCGGATCCCAGCTTCTTCCCGAACGACGCCCGGCGATTCACTGCGTATGTAATATCTGGGCGTGAAATGGATGAAATGTAGATGAGGCAGCCAATCGCTTCCATGCATGGACAGCCATACTCCTATGCTCGTATGGCTCTTCTCCATCCTCAGACTTCATCAGCTTTTTTTAAGAATGAACCTTTTCTGTTTGCTTTCTTTGCCTTCTGGGACTTCATATCGTGATAAGAGACAGAATTTCTTCTGGTTCGAATTATCCAGGGCGATAACTGTTTGATTAAACTGTAAAGGAATCGGCCATGATACCAAGACCAGGGAATGGTGGAATATTCCAATTATATGAGCATCGGACAGGTATTCTAGCAAATTTTGATTAAAAAAATCTAAAAGCAGTAAAACTAAAATCCAGTTTAAATTTTTGTAGACTTTTTTGAATTTATTCCCATATGAATTTCTGCTTTTCTCAGACTTTTTTTATTATCGTGGCAGTTTAATATTTGCTATGTGAGGAGGGGGGGCACCCCTCCCCCTCCCGGGAAAAAGGTTAAAAATCCTTTTATAAAATTTACGAAATTCGGAAATCGGAACTGTCGCAAAACGTTGCCCTCGGGGAGAACAATAGCGCCCCCCCCCCAGCGAACAATAGCGGAAGAACCAGGGACAACTGCGAACAACAGCGAGAGAACCATATAACAACGCATCACAATAAATCGTATCACAATGCAGATACTGACGTTGTACATTAATACAGTTGGCACAACGCAGCAGCAAGCGATTTTTTTGTTAGACCGCGGCGCCTCGCCCTATTTACCATGGCACATGAAATAATTTTTTAAGCAACCTACTTACTTTAGTTCTCCTATTTTTCTGCATAAAACGAGATTTTTCTGAATTTATAGCGAAGGAACGTGCCCTGGTGAGTGTCTTATAAATCTTATTGCTTGTGTTCTGTTTCCGGTGGGAAAACGTCAAACATACATTATACATACAAGTACTTACTGAAAATGTAAAACTGGAAAACGAAGTCATAGATGACAGATTTAAAATGCCACATTAATGTGAGATGTTACTTCGAATGAGATTCAAAGACGGAATTAATTTTACAAAAAATGAGAAATTTAAAAACTGAAGTAGTGAAGTAGAAATAATATGGAATAGTTTAGTAATACCACGGCAAAATAAAAATCATCGTTCAACCCTGTGATGTGCGCAAATCCTTCGCAGTCTGCGGAGAGTGAACACTACACTGGCATAAACACGAGTCACAGACACACGATTAATTGAAACTAAATCATTACTCAGATTACTGTCTAATAACATTATAAGTAATACACTCACCACTTCTCCGTCGCTCATCGGTTTAGCTTCAGTTCGCTGCAGATACTGCAGTGAATCACCACGTATGGCCAGCACCCGGATGGCCCTTTTTCGCGTCTCCAGCAGTTGAAGGAAACGGTCGGAGGACGGAAACGTGGTGAGAGACAAGAAATCAACTGGAAGATGGCATTCGCGCACTGCAAAGCAGCCAGGCGGCAGTGCCCCTGGTCCTGGGGTCTCCAGTGGTACGGCTGGGGGGCAGCGCACCTGATCAGCGGTGAACAGTTCCGTCAGCTGCCGACCGCCCACGTCGACGGCGGCCCACACCAGCCCGATGTCGTCGAAGGGGAAGAAGAAGGCGCGATGCAGGAGACGCGCAGGGTACCATAGCCACGCAGCGCCCGGGTGCGGGCGACACAACACCTGCACGCTGGCATTCTCCGTCAGCGCGGGATTCCACTGCAGTTCATGATGCCAGTTTTCGTATACCTCGGAAAACGGGGAGCTGGCAGCGTCGAAGATCTTATCGTAGCTGACGAAGAGCGAGCGCTGTCCGCTGCAGTGGAAATCCACGATCAGCCCGTTCTCCGCCACGTTGATCACTTCACCGTGCTGGAACAGTCCGCTCTCCGTCAGCACATCCACAGAGTTCCACTGACGCACGGGTTGATATCGGCAATGCTTTTCTCTGTACAGGTGCATTCTCAGCTAATCGACCACTGCAAAGCACTAGATTCTAGAAGTTCACAAGAACGTAGGGGCAGAAGGCGATTGAATTATAGAAGACTATTTTCGGAAAAGTGCTAGTAATACTGTAATCAAAATTTAAAAGTGATCTTGTGGAAAAAAGTCACGAAGTCAGCTGCATATTTCTCATTAATTTTCATTACTGGCATTAGTTCCGTTGATCGTCATACGGGGGCGGTTGGCACTGCTCAAGATAAGAAATCAGCCTCGTACGATCGTGCCTAAATGCACCGCTTCCCTGTAGTCTCTGTGTTCACAACATGCAGGGTACTGTTCTAAAACAAGCCAGGCCGTAATTAAAGGTATCGAACCGTGCATGCCGTCCTGGGCGGCTGGAAAACGACCCGTAATGAGCGGCGAGCGCTTCCAAACAAATTATTTGAAACAAATAAAATCAAAACAAATCGAACACCCGACGAACAAATTTTCTCCGTAGACTTCTTACCATGCTGACTTTAAAAATCCACGTGAGTTTTGGAAAAATTACACAACCGATGTCACAAATGAATAATTATTCAATTCCGACCAGCTACGAGAATAAGTACAGTCTGTACATACACAACCATATAAGTAAATAATTTGTATTTAGCCAATTCGTTATTTCGTACAATCGTACGAATAAAAAGGACAGGATGATAAATTCTACCGGTGTACTTGATACCGTCAAGTACAGTAGTCATCTTGGTGAATTGTTCTTATTCTGTGGAAATTTACAGCGCTAGGCATGAATTATGCCAGAATTATTCATCGCATCTGACTCTGATCTGAGCACATTCAAAAGTCATTAGTTCTCACAAATCACAATCTGCTAAATGCTAACCGCTTCCTCTGACTGCTTGTACAACAGAATCGAACACTCCCGTTTCCGACACCAAAACAGAAGGAGAAATCTGAAGCAGTGAACAAATCGGTAAAGTTAATAACTATGGCAGCTGCCCCACACAACCGTTCCCGACATCGACACAAGGACGACAGATAGCCGGTCACTGCACGTGTTCCACGTCGCTATCTTCTTCATCTTCGCTCCGTTCCATTTCCACGGGAAGGCGTTCCTTCAAAGCCCGCAGCGTGAGGGTGGTCAGCTTGGACACATCCACATCCTTCAGGTTGTCCAGTGTCCATTCGTGACCACGATACGGCGTCGTGGAGCGGGGATCGTGACTTTGCCAGTCCTTAAGATACTGTACAGTTCAACGCAATATTAATTGGGGTCATTGTGGTGAGGAACGGCCGGGGAAATGTACGCGCTAACGTTAATATGCCACTGCAATAATTCTCGTCATCTCTCTTGCTACAACATACATCGGCTGGACTTGCATAGTCCAGAAGACGGGGTGGGAACAGGGCTACAGAGCAAAATATAGACCAATGGGAACGCTTCTTTCCACATCATAATCAAGCAGATCATAGGCTCTTACAGTACTGAAAGCGTGGCTAACAGCGCTAGCTACAAAATAACATAAATCCACACCAGGAAAATTTAAGCAGCAATACACTATTTAAAGACATTTTCCAGACCTACAGAAAACTGTCGACTGGCACACATGGAGGATATGAACCAGTGGGACAGTGGAGTTACCGATCGAAGGATATTAAAAAAGGTCATGTAGGCACAGTATGGCAAGATCAGAAAACCATACTTCACGGATTTTTTAATATAAATTGTTTAACAACTTGCATCTGGATAAATGAATATTGCACTAAGTACTGTAATCAATTCCGGTGCTAATGCAGTCGAACTAAGTACAAATATACACGTAGTTATTACACTGAGTTTCAGTTAAAACACCACCAGTAAAAGAAAAAAAATGAGCAAAATCCCGTTCCCCAATGTAGCTGGCAATTTTACCTTCACGACCATTTCGCGAACGTCCTGCGATCCGGTGCGAATCCACTCCGCCATTTCCTCCAAATCCACTCCATCGCGAGACAGATGTGCCTCATAGAGATCCCGGAATTGTGCCTCCAAATCCGGGGCATCGAGTGTTACCGTCGCCTGCGGAATAACGGCGCTCATTTTCTCCAAAGACGTGAATTCACACCGTTGCAGACGAAGTTCACAGCAATACGGTGCTAAACTTTTTAGCGTCTTGGCTAGACGCTGGAACACTATCCTGCCTTCCTCTTCCACCTCGTCCTCCGTCACAGCAACGACACCGTTGTCGCCGTATTTATATCCGAAATTAAACTCCCAGTCCATCTCCACATGATGGAATATCAGTTGTTTCAGCCGGGTATTTCGCAGCACCCATTTAACCACCAGAAATGTACTATCGAGCTGTTCCGCGTACATATCCTCCAAAATAACCCGTTCCGTGGTGGCGGTGGTGCATTTCAGCAGGCCCGCCACGGCGCCGTAGACGTCGGTGAAATCCTCCTCTTCCAGTGGAAAGAACGGGTTCATCCGGAAGGAAACACGGTCCGGTCCGAAAACGGTCCGTTTTCGCGCTGTCGGCGCCGGTCAGCACGGTATTCCACAGCGGACACACGCGACGCAGCTTCTCGCGGATGACGCTGTCCAGCGAGTGGAAGATCTCCAGCAAGAGATGCGGTGCCGTTGGAGCACCCGCTCCACTTCCGGTTGGGCATCGTCGTCGGGGTGTTTGCGCTTTCTGGTCGCTTCCGTACCAATATGCACCTGATCTAGCCCGAGATTCTCCTGCTCGTTATGGAGCAAGCGCTGGGAGGCTTTTTGATTTAATTCGCATACTTGTTGCTGCGAAAAAAATACAATATAAAAATTATGTTTAATTATTCAAATATTTTTTAGAAAGGATTTTAAATAAATTAACAAAGAAAAGTTCTAGGCGACTAGGACGATTAAGATTCTGGTTAAGAATTTTCAAGCCGAGAGCGGCAAATTATTAAATAAATTATAAAGCAGACAAAAATTCCTATGGACAACTGCACCGGTTATACCGGATAGCTTAGCGCCAAAATAAAACAAAAATATCAGTGTGTAAAGTAAAAATAAAAATAAAATAATTATAATAAAATAATTATTAGAATTATATTAGAAAATAATTATTAGAATTATAACAACATTACAATACATCAGCATTTAATTCGCGGAAATCAGTAGAAATTTTGTAGCTGGTGTGCATATCTACATTCTACAGTATTGTAGTCAGATGAACATTATCGTAGCACGCACCACATCCTCTTCGGAGAAGGCTTCGGCGTCCCTTCGCTGCAGGTACTTGACGGTACCACCCAGAATGCTTATAACACGAACATCCTTCCTCTCCAGTTGGCGACGTAGACCATCAGACGCCTTAGAGGCGGGCATCGGGCAGAAACCATCGGGCAGGCGACATTCTCGCACAGCAAAGCAGTCCGGCGGCAGTGCTCGTTGGGCCAGCCACAGCTTGGAACGCGGGAAGCGCACCTGATCAGCGGAGAACAGTTCCGTTAGGCGGCGACCCTCCACGTCGACGGCGGCCCACACCAAGCTGCTTCCTGTGTGGGGAAAGAAGAACGGGCGCCGCAGCAACCGTCCCGGGTACCAGCACCATGCCGCACCCGGGTGCGGGCGACACAATACCTGCACGCTGGCATTTTGTACTGCCGTGGGGATCCTCTGGAGTTGTTCGTGATAATGTTTCTGCATCACGACATAACGGTCCAGGGAAGGGAGAAAAAGCTTGTCGTAGCTGATGAAGAGCGAGCGCTGTTCGCTGCATTGGAAATCCACGATCAGGCCGTTCTCCGTCATATCGATCACTTCGCCGTGCTGCAGGAGACCGTTCTCTGTTTACACATCCACCGAGTTCCACTGGAACACGGGATTGTAACCAAAATAACGTCCGTGATAAAGGTGCATTTTCAGCTAGCAGACAACAGGGAAAGATGAGAGTGGGAATCGTACAGATGGCTGAAGGTAAATTGAGAAAGCTATTCTACGGACTGCGCTGTACGGCTGTAGCGGCGCTGTACCAATATGTCTCAATGCTCAAACATTTCAGAAAAGTTCAACTATTGTATTTTGTGCTGCTGGCAGCTGGCTGTTGCACACTGCAAAGTGCAAACACTTCAAAGTCCAAAGGCAAAAACATAATTTTACCATGGAAATATGGAATCCATAGACCGTCACCATGGAGCGGTTGGTCACCATGGTCGATAAAAATTAAAACCATAGCTCCGTCACCGCCTCCGTGTGGCTTTTGCGAAGCAAAAATAATATGATTAATTTCATTGATAATAATCTAGCTTTATTGGGCAAAAGCCATCAATACAACAAAAACTGCATACGCAGAATACTACGCAAAATTATTTACATTCAAACATTAAAAAAACAACCAAAATCGTTAGCGCTATCAGTCATTTTAGAACGCATACTCAAAGTGCCCAAAACAGCAGCAGCATTTCCTTTTACAACAGCCAGGCTAAATCTCTGCTTTAAAAATGCAGTAGAACGGGGCTCCCCTGTGACGTCGCGAATCTTTCTGCCAACGAAACGAATAAGCTCCGCAAATGCAGGACCAAAGGTTCCAAAGGTCTCGACCGCCAGGGGATAAAGAAGATATCCCATTTCTTCCACAAACGCGTACTTACGACGTTTCCTGTCTTCGGCCAAAAGCGCAACACTTCCGGATGCACTCGCGCTTGCCCGCACGTGCGATAAGGCAACTGTGTCCCAACATGTAGCGTCCCAAACGAGCGCTTTGCCATCACGTACAGGGACGAGAGTCATGCCGTCTGGCCGCGTATTATTTATACCGGACAGTCCCAGTGGCTCGCTTTGACATGGATACCCAGCATGTTCCAAAGCACGCTTTGTTACGTCGTTGAGTTCGACATGTCTAGACCATCTTCCTCGGCTGCTGGAACAGGATAGGCCGTGGTGACCATTGGTTTCCACATGGCTTCCGCAGTTCACACAGTCGTGTTCTTCCACAACTGGAAGTCCGAACCTAAGTGCGATGCCAATACGCACTTCTTCATCCCGTAAGAACGTGCGCAAATTAGGTGCAGGCAAAGCATTTAGCCATGCGCCCGAATCACGGTGCAGCGCAGCTAAAAGTACGGCTCTGTTCGCTTCGTCGGTGGTCGTTTGCTTCATTAACAACACTGCTTGGTCAATCAACGGTCGATCCCATGCAGACTGGAACTTTCTCTGATCCATAGCAGGGGGTTCACAGTTGGTTTCTTCAGACCATCGCAGCACAATTGGATCGAGAAGTGTCTCCGTTGCAGGGCGGTAGATCATCGAGACTAGGGAAGTAACCGAATACGCCGATGCCAGAAAGGCAGGGAAAACTACCGATGTCGTACTCCGTAGCCCCATTCCCCCATCCCTGATAGGGAACGACATCTGGGTCCACTGTGCGTCGTTCAGGCGGACGTTAAGAATGGACTGCAAACCGGCACGGACGATGTCATCCAGCGATGCAATCAACGCCACGTGCTCATAACATCTGCTTGTGCGGAATCCATAGAGCAGTTTTGGTATCAGTAAACAATTTCGCAAAAGGTATAAGCTGTAATGTGCAGGTATCAGTTTGAGTCGCGATATGAAATACTGCAGCTGCACGGATTTACTGCGGAGGAAAGTCTCGCACGCCGCTGTCGTTAAAGGAGCTCCAAGAAGTGTGCTTTCTTCTTCCTTAGAAACGGCCATTTCGGGGAATGCAGTGAGCACCATTTGAACAGCATTTAACCGATCCGCAGTGAATTGTCCCACGCTAAAAACTTCGCATTTGCTGAGATTGAGCTCCAGTCCCATTCTTAAACCGCGTGCAATGATCAGTCGAATGGCTGCAATAACTTTTTCCACGAAACCAGCTAGGGTGACGTCATCAAGGTATCCAACTGCTATGTCACACTGTAAGCCTTCGAAGAGTGGAAGTGTTGCAAGGCCATATCCAAACGGACCAGCGGGATCGCCTTGCTGTACACCAGTTTCTGAAGACAAAAGGAACTTGCCGCAACTCAGGTGTGACGCATGCCGGTAGGACTGCCAGAAGTAGCGGAAATATGCAGGGAATTTTTCACGTACAGCAGTCAGCAGAACGTCCCGACGCAATGTATTGAAGGCGTTTCTGAAATCGAGTTTTACAATAACGCGCGCGTCCGCATGTGTCGTTTCCACGTAACTCCGAACAGCATGCGCGGCAGCTTCTGCGCCTCCCCTTACGCCGACGTCGAGTTGCACGGGAGAAAACATAGCGGCTGCTTCTTCGGCGCACCTGCTGCTGACAATTTTTGAAGTCAATCGCCGTAGCGTATCCCCTACAGCGATTGGTCTCACTCCTCCATCTTTTTTTCCCAGTGGAATTAAATTGGCGCCAAAAAAATACGGCCGAATATCATTAGGTATGTCTGTGCTGAGAATCATATTCGTCAGATCGGTGAGTGCGAGACATAGATCACTTTGCTGATCATCCTTGCGATTTAGAAGGTCTTTCAAATGTTGCGGGCGAAGGCCGAAAATACCTGCCGCTGATCCGGTGGGAAAACTGAAAACAGCGTTCATTACCTCCGCTGGGGAAACTGGTGGTGGTAAGAAGGAGTCATCGGGTGTGGGAGGGAACTGGCAGTCGTCAGGTGCTGGCGGGTGCTTATCCCGTAGTACTTGAGCCGTTTCAGCATTAATCTCGGCCAGTTTATCATCTTCCAGCAGTATCCTAATAGCTCCTTTAATGTTAGCATCTTGGAACATAGAATTTACTGAAGCACGTAGATTATCCTGTGCGGAAATATTATTTCTGGCTTGTTCGCGACGGGGCAGAGAATGGCGGTTTGCAAGGGACAAATCTGCCAGGTTCTTCCTAATTACGGAGGTGAGAGATTCTCTGCGAAGAGTTTTGGTAGGTGGGAGCGATAAAGCGGTCGGTGCAAACAACCGCAGTGCGGTCCAGGTAGCTGACGAATTCTTGCGCACGCAGTTCCTAATCAAATCGGTCAGCACTTGAGCACATTGGTGACGCACCGCCTTAGGCACACGTTTCGGAATGTGGTATCGCTCGCCTTCCAAGAAGGAATGTAAAGGGTGCTTCTGAGTCCCTCCGGGTGGCGTTAACGGAGGCTGGGTAGAGGAGGAACCAGTAGCGAGCTTGCGGGAACAAGCTTTCGTGTGGGCAGCTAATCCAGCTCCCTGCGTGAAACACTTTTTGCAGTGCGGGCAAGGCTGATCGCGAGCCATAGTTATAGTAAGAATGGAGAAAGACCAACCTAATGCGTCCGGAGGGAGGCAGGATGCCCAGGAGAATCAGGCCGCCGCGAGCAGCTTCCCATTCCGTGGCACTTTCCCATTCCGTGGTACGGTGCCACGGTTAGATTCTCCGAAGCCACCCTTGCAGTCGACAGGAAAGCTCACTATCGACGCGCTGGGAAATTTAGCGCAAAAATGTCCATCCAGATCCTTCCCAGTGTACTTCGTGCTTCACAAAATTGTAAAAAAAATGTGGATGAATTTCGTAATAAAACTCCGATAAAAATCCTAGAAAAGTCCTATGATAGGTCAGGCCCGTCGCGAGACCCCTGTGCAATTTTCAAAAAAAACTCCTCCTACAGTTTTCATCGGAAAATTTTTCTGAATACACCATTGGATTCGTCGTGAAATTCTGAACAAAACGGTTGAGGCCGATTTTTGAAATTCACATTTCCCCCTAGACCCTCACTACGGGCGGTCCCCAATTCGACAGCCTGACTTCTGGGGAATTCCCCCGTGCACTTTCAAAAATATATTACTCTACAGTTTTTATCGCATATTTTTTCTGAAAACATTCCTGAACTCGCCGTAAAATTCTGAACAAAACGGTTGAGGCCAAATTTCAAAATTCGTTCCTCCCCAAGCACGTCCACCCGGGCGGTCGCCTATGTCACAACCCAAGTTTTGGGGCTTTCCCCCCTGACCCCTCAGAAATAGAGAAACCATTTGCGCTTGAAATACTAATTGTATCGCTGAAAATGGCTCGAGAAGGTGTCTTTGACTGCCCTTGGGGGCCAGGGGGGAATGCCCCAAGAACTGGGCTGTCGCATTGGCGACCGCCCGCAGTAACGATCTGGGGGGAAATGCGAATTTCAAAAATCGGCCTCAACCGTTTTGTTCAGAATTTCACGACGAATCCAATGGTGTATTCAGAAAAATTTTCCGATAAAAACTGTAGGAGGAGTTTTTTTTTGAAAATTGCACAGGGGTCTCGCGACGGGCCTGTGATAGGTTAAGTTATGTGTTTTTATTATTATGATTAATTTCATTGATAATAATTATTTTACTAGTACAAGTAGTAGATTCGATTTTAACTTGTACGAGTACGAGTATTATAATTCATAACGCAATTTGTGGTATGCGGTAGAGGGGCGGTGCCGGTGCAAGCACGCTCATTGGCTGTACGAGTGGTCTAACCAACAGAGAATTCAGCATAGCGCTAACAGGGCAAACTACAGATGCGCAGTATAACCCAGATCTATGATGCCGAATTTCATGGTGCAATGCGCTGGCGGCAATAAGTTACTGCTGCCACAGATTTCCATGTGACAGCTAACATTTCCTTGTAGAGCACATTTTTCTGTACAGTTTGGTTATAGTCTAGGTTTTGCTAACAGATCATTAGCTGGATGAGCAGTATTTAAAGTCACTGTTTCGAGCATATGCTTAGCGACAGAAACAGCGACTTCCGACCACTCGCAGGTTTTCACGAACTGCCGTCCGTGCGCGGCTGCCCTGGCGCATACCGTCAATGGAGTTGTGCAGTATGTAATCGGCATTATATAATTCAGGGTTTAATAAATAATTCAAAGTTTTAGACGAATCTGCGTTTTGGGAATGATGCTAAGCGGCATACGTGACACGTCAAGCAAAAATAAAAAATATTCAAACAATAAAATTTAAACGGTTTTGATGTGCGTAAGTATCTTAAAAATGGGCTGCACATTAGAGCGATAGAGGTTAGAGCGATAGAGCGATTTGCCTGGCGGCATGTGAATTCACTGTGGAGTCTGGACATGATTGCACTCAACGGCGACATTGCTGAATGTTGAATCAACTGACGCGGACGGGTTGATTCGGCAGAAAGGTAAATGAGCCGGCCACCGTGCCATGACTTCGGCAGTCCGGCCGAATAGTGGAACCCAACCACCAATCTGCCGAATTTCGCCCATTTCGCCCCACATCACCCGCCACCCACGGGATGCCTTCTTAATTTGCGTGGCTTTGTACGCGGCGCTGGTGATGGTCAACCAGTGGAAATACCGTGCTCTACTCACCGTGACGTCCGGGCCCTCCACCGAACTGCATGCGAAATCTCGCTTCTACTCGACCACCGTTGAGCAGATGTCGTTCCACTAGCGCTGTCTCTCCACTAGAGGCGAACGAGGCTGTTGTGCTATTAACTGTTTTCTTCACTTCTCAGTTCTCGTGAATTAACCATAAATTCTTTCCCTGTCCGCGTATAATGAGCGCGAATATATCGCAGTTACCTATTAGATCTTTCTCTTGCGAAAACAAAAACGAGCCAGACCGTTGCCCGGTGCAGACTGCCGGCAGCGACCAGCTACGACGCAACAGTTAAGATAAACTTAACAAAGATACACCCCTTGGTCCCATTTATATTCATACTGGCTTTAATTTCGTAACATTAGCCATTTCAAACAAAAAGAAAGACCATTTCTGCAGGACGTACAAATCCTAACTTTTTTGTCACTTTTAGACACATACGTCCGAATAATAAAAGAACTCAGTACTGACAAGTAAAAGGAATTAATTAACTAAAACCGCAACAGCGTATCATTTGCTGTACCAGTCACAGCGAAAGCGGCAAACGAAAGAGGAACCTTGAAAAGGTTCTCGGCTTTCCCATTTCGGCGATTGGCGCAGCTGTTCGCAGGCATTATTTTTCCCGGCGATTTCCATGTTCATCGTCAAGCGCCTCCCGGAGGGATTTCCTTCAAGGCACGCAGTGTAATGGTGGTCAGCTGGGACACATCCAGATCCTCAAGATTCTCCACCGTCCACTGGCGGACACCATAACGTGTCGTCGGTCGCGGATCAAACGTCTGACAATCCATCAGAATCTGCATGCGACAAACACATTCCGATTTGCATGATTTCCTATATACGTGTTTCCCATTTATAATTTAAATCACACAACAGACTCAGCTTCAATGCTCTACCCGTAGTAACACTTCACAAGCATCAAGGAGTTTTACAGTGTTCTACTATCTACAGAGTACCGTAAATCCCGGCCGCGTGGCAAATTGTTTGCCACCGTTGTCAACATGGCACTGCTATTTGTTGTATACCTGCGCCACCATCTCGCGAAATTCTTCCGATCCTGTGCGAATTCGTTCGGCTAATTCCTGCAAATGTAATCCGTCGCGTGACAAATGGGCCTCGTAGAGGTTCCACCATTGTGTTTCAATCGTCGCTACATCCAGGATAATCATCGCATCCGGAATAATGGCCTTCATCCGTCCGCTGCAGCTGAATTCACACTGACGCAGCCGCAAGTCCCCGCAATACGGAGCCAAACCCTTCAACCCCTCAACAACTGCCGACAGATATCGAAACCTCAACCGGCCTGCAAACCATACTCCCATCATCAGCTGCCCGTCACTGCCGACACTCTCCCGGAAGATACAATCATCCCAGTGGAATGTCACACGATGCAGGATGAGATGTTGAACGTGGACACCGCGCATGAACCGGCCAATTACCCTCACGACTTCCTCCGCGTACTCGCCCCGGACATGCTCGACAATCAGCCGTTCCGTCGACTGGTCGATGCTCTGCAGCATCCCCCCGACCGCCATGTAGACACTGGTCAATTCTGGCGAATCCATGGAGAAGTACGGGTTCGGTGCGAAGGAAACACGTACAGTTTTATGGCTGTCGGCGCCCGTCAAGATTTCATTCCACAGCGGACAGACGCGGCGCAGTTGCAGACAGCTGACGTCATCGAGTGAGGCAAAGATCTCGCGCAAGAGGTGTGCTGCTACGGGTAAAACACATTCCGTCTCCGACTGCGCATCGTCGTCAGGGTATTTGCGCTTTCTTGTTGTGTCCAAGGACGACATGCCTGATTCGTGTTGGTAGACCTGCTCCGGGGCCTCCAACTGTGCAACGCTCCCCAGTGTCATCTCGTACGCGTTTTTCTGTTGATAGATCAAACGCAAAATCAACAGAAGCATTTATTTTCGTAAATAAAATTCTATTTGTGTTCTTCACTTTTGGTAGATTGGATAAGAGCAGTTCACATGTGATTCTGTAATAGAGAATCCTTACATTACCAAAATTAATAAAACGCACCAGTTCTTCCTCCGTCAACGGTTGCCCATATCGTCGCTGCAGAAACGCCACCGTTTGACCGCCAATGGACACAATACGCAAAGGTCGGGTCGTATCGATGCGACGACGGAACCTGCTCTCTAATTCCGATGTAACCGTCGACCAGTAATTCGCTGGCAAACGACATTCACGTACACCGAAGCTTTGCGGATTAAGCGCTCGGCTGGCCAGCTGCCTCTCGGACGGCGGAAAACGCATCTGGTCGACGGGGAACAGTTCCATCTGCCCCAAACCATCCACTTCCACCGTCGCAATCACCAGGCCGATAGTTTCGAAGATCATGGGCTTGCTGAGCAATCGGCCAGGATACCACAGCCAGGCAGCACCCGGATGCCGGCGCCACAACACTTGCACGCTGGCGTTCTCCGTTGCCAGGCGGGTCAAATCGGGTTCTTGGCGCCACGTGCGGTACGGCTCCGAACACCGGGCAACGGAAGCGGTGAAAATTTTGTCGTAACTGACTAACTGTGATCGCTGCTCGCTGCAGTGGAAATCCACAATCAGACCGTTCTCCGCCACGTTGATCACTTCGCCGTGCTGGAAGAGACCGCTCTCCGTCAGCACATCCACCGAGTTCCACTGGTTAACTCGATGGATGTCAAAGGATTTTAATCCGCAAATGAGCATTCTTCTGCTAGCAACTGTGCCAAGGAACTTTTAATAAACAGAAACGGCAAGGCGGGATAATAATGGAACAACTGAACAACTAAACTGAAATGAGGAACAATCAAAATTTTAAAAACGGACTGCAACAGATGTGTGCTTACCGGTTAGTTCATGTTTTAACTTGCAAATGCTGGCATGAGCGTCAGATGATTTTTCGCGAAGACGCATAAATCGGAGTACAGTACGACTGTACGAGTATGCAATGCAGCACTTGTGAGCAGATTCAGCAGAGGTTGAAATACTAGTACTGTAGATAGATTCCAGTACGCCCGTGCGCGTTGATTGGGTAGCTCCAACCAACCAAAGCCGTTGCAAACTCTTTAATTGGTTAAATACCAGCAGTTACATTTGAGAATTCAGAAATAAGTTCCATTCAATTCAGTCTCGGATCGGATTCTCCGTCCGCCCAGTGGGTCTCATAAATAATGGAGCGAGGTACTGTATAATGTGAGGTAAAACTTCTTTACGCCTTTTCGTAGAAAAATATTTAGCTAAATAGAGTGAACCACAATTAATCCACTGTTCAGAACTTCCGACGCTGCCAGCCAAAGCCATTACTAGAATAGAACAAAGCCAAGAAACGACCGTAATACTAGGTCACGTAGCCCCGAGAGCTTCGCTGATTAGAGGGGAGCGCAGACCAACGTCTCACAACAGAGAGTACAAAAGAAGTCATGGCAGTACTTCTCACAGTCTGCTAAGTGCTAACCGCTCCCCTGATTGATTGTACTAAAGAAATCAAACACTCCAGTTTCCGACACCAAAATCAAGAAATCTGAAGCAATGAAGAGATGTGCTAGCTAATAATTCTGTTAACTGCGACACAACCGTTCCCGATATCGACGTAACTCGACGCCAGATGGGCCATTAATGCGCTGCTTCAACTTCGTCATCTTCCAGTTAAATCTTCTCCAGTGGGAGGCGTTCTTTCAAAGCACGCAGCGTGAGGGTGGTCAGCTTGGACACATCCAGATCCTTGAGGTTGCCCAGTGTCCATTTGTGACCACGATACGGAGTCGTGGAGCGCGGATCGCGACTTTGCCAGACCATAAGATACTGCAATCAAGCAAAATATTATTCGGCGCTTAAGATCTTCGCTGCAGGGTTTAGGGAGGGTGTGAATTAAAAGCGTAATTAACAACGTTAGCTATATATACGGTACATTAGGATAAGCAGAATAGCGGTACACTGGTCAAGGACACATTCCGGAGCTGAAGAAAATTGTTGGCTGGCATACATTCAGGATGTATCAGGAAGGTCACGCATCGAAACAGAGATTAGAAAATCTTTCTTCAAAGGATTTTGAAAGGATAAATTACTTTAAATATATCCGGATAAATTAATACTGGGCTACCGAGTTTAACGCTCAATGCAATTTAACTAAGCCCGTGCAAATGCGCAGGATTTTCGTAACGGTATACAGAACCTAATAAATATTAAAATAAGCAAAACTGCGTTCACCAGTGCTTCTATCGTACTTGGCATTTTACCTGCACGACCATTGCACGAAGGTTTTTCGCTCCGGTTCGAATCCACTCCGCCATCTCCTCTAAATTCACTCCCTCGCGAGATAGTTGCGCCTCGTACAGATCCCAGAATTGTGCCTCTATATCCGCTGCATCCAGTTTCACTGTCGCGTGCGGAATAATGACGCTCATTTTTTCCAGAGAACTGAACTCGCATCGTTGCAGGCAAAGTTCATCGCAATGCGGTGCCATACTCTTCAACATTTTGGCTAGACGCCGGAAGATTATCCTTCCCTTTTCCTGCACCTCCTCCGCAGCAGCGGCACCGTTATCGATATATTCATATCCTTCATATCCGTAATTCAATTCCCAGTCCATTTCCACACGATGGCATATCAGTTGTTTCACACGAATATCCCGAAGCACCCGTTTAACCACCACCACTGCAATATCGAGCTGTTCTGCGCACAGATCCTCGATAATGACCCGTTGTGTTTTGCCATTGGTGCATTTGAGCAAAACCGCCACGGCGCCGTAAACGTCGGTGAAATCCTCCTCTTTTCGTGGAAAAAACCGGTTCAGCCGGAAGGAAACACGGACTATTGTCACGCTGTCGGCGCCGGTCAGCACGGTGTTCCACAGCGGACAGACGCGGCGCAGTTTTTGGCGGTTGACGCTATCCAGTGAGTGGAAGATCTCCAGCAGCAGATGCGTCGCGGATGGCAGTACACATTCGACTTCCGGTGGTGCGTCGTCGTCAGGGTGCTTGCGCTTTCTGGTCGCTGCCGCAATGACAGTTACTTCTAGTCCAAGCTTATCCTGCTCGTCACTGAGCACGCGATGGGAGGTTTTTTCGGTCAACTCGCGCACTTCTTGCTGCGAAATTATAACAGAAAATAGTACTTAATTGTGCAAATATTATTCTTTAAAAAGGGAATTAAACAAATTTACAAGTAGAAAAAGGTCTAGATCTAGGCGACTAGGACTTGCACTTATCACTAAGCAATATACGGTTATGACTAAGTAATTAGCACGGTATTGCACTACAGCAAGTAATTCGAGCGATTAAGATTCTGGTTAAGAAATTTCAAGTTGCGAATATAAGCAGAGAAACATTCCATGGATAATTGCACCGATTGTAACACTCTCAGCACATAACTTATACGCCACAATACCATACAGTTGTATGGCATACACCAAACTAGCACGCCAAATAAAACTAAATCAAATTATGCTGAAAAATATTGTAATAAAATAATAATTCAAATAATTCAGCATCTAATTTGCAGAAATCAGCTGGGATTATGTAACTGATGTGCATATCTACAGACACTACTCGTACAGTAGTCAGATAAACATATTATTATGGTGTTGGACGCACCACTTCCTTTTCTGTCACGGCTTTGGCGTTTCTTCGTTGCAGGTACTTGACTGCACCACCAAGAATGCTTATGACACGAACGTCACCTTTCTCAAGCTCCAGTTGTCGATGGAAATCATCAGCTGCCTTTGGCGTGAGGGTAACCCAAAATTCATCGGGCAGGCGGTATTCTCGCACTACAAAGTAGTCCGGCGACAGCGCTCGTTGTGCCAGCTGCTGCTTGGACGGCGGGAAGCGCACCTGATCAGCGGAGAACAGTTCCGTTAGTCGGCGACCGTCCAAGTCGACGGCGACCCACACCAGGCCGATCTGCAAGCATGGAAAGCAGAACGGGAGCCGCAGCAACCGCCCAGGATACCAGCACCATGCAGCACCCAGGTGCGGGCGACACAAAACCTGCACGCTAGCGTTCTCCGTTGCCGCGGGGTTCGGCTGCAGTGGTTCATACCAGTGTTGCTGCATCAAGGAATAGGGAAACCAGGACGGGTGCAAGGCATTGTTGTAGCTGACCAGCTGCGCTCGCTGTCCGTTGCAATGGAAATCCACCATCAGCCCGGTCTCCGCCACATTGATCACTTCGCCGTGCTGGAAGAGACCGCTCTCTGTCAGCACGTCAACCGAGTTCCACAGGTACACGGGAGTTTTTCCAAAAAATCGTCCACGATAATGGTACATTTTTAGCTAACACTGTAAAATATTGCAGTACACTATAAAATAATGTTGGCAAGTGCGCAAACACTTTGCTCGTTGAGCAAACCCACGTACTAAGCAGCAAAGCCTGCAAATTTAGAAAGACTCCAAAGTTCGAAGCCAGAAAAGCATACAGTGAAGCACCTCGTAACGTACACCCTTTGGCTTTTTATAGCATTGACCCCTTTATTACGTACATGCGGCTGGGAACCGGACTGCCCGGCATATTAAAACACAGGAGCAGGAGCAGAATCCGAGAAACGGTTGAAAAAGGCGCCGATGGGGGAATGGAACCCCGGCTACGTCGTTAGATCCGCGTATACAGTACCACTGCACCACGGCGCAATACGTTGAAATCATTAGAAGGACTTTATCGCTGTAAGTGAGCCGCTTCTCTGCTCACCTCTGTATAAATAAAACGTACACCGATCCCGGAACGATTGATCATATTAACTGAGGAACATTCAAACCCCTGCGCTACATACATCTGGCCGAGAAATAGAAAAATCAATTTCACAGAAAGCTCCGGTTTGTAGCTCAAAGTCTGCAGAATGCCGGATCTTGCGATGCTAAACAGCGACAAGGTAGAAAATAACGAAATCAGTGACCTGGCTGGCCTTGCAGTTTTTCCTTCGTTGTCGCAACGTATGCATTAGCATCACGGCGCGGTTGGTACTGCACAGGCTCTAAGCATACCTATGCCAGATACATGCCAGGAAAGCTACAGATACAGATACATGAGCATATGCCAGATGACAGATACATAAGATACAGATATAGATAAGAATCATAAGATACATAAGAAGATAAGATACATAAGATACAGATACATAAGCATATGCCAGATACATGCCAGGAAAGCTTTTGTGCCAGGAAAGCTTGGAAGCCAGGAAAGCTAGTTAGTTTACAAGTAAAAAGTCGAAAGAATACACGGACAATTACTAGAGTAGAGCAAACCTCGGGAAATGGCGCATTTGACATCGGCTGCTAAAAGCCGGAATCGATACCTGCTTTTTCCTTGTCCAGACAACAGTGGGAGAAATATTAGAACTAAGGCTCCAACCAAACGCTAGTTTCAATGTCTTTGCGGGAAGTTTGCACAGATCTACTTCTAATGATTATGCATGATGTATGAGATATTGTGCAATGCACAAGACCGTCGGGAAATTTACACGTACAGAAACAGCGAGTGCATGCTGAGGGCACTGTTATCGCCTTGAGGATGGCCACAAAGGGAAAATTGTTGGAATGGAAAACTGTCCGCATTCAGATCGCTTCTAATGCACCGACTTTCGTTTCACCACCATCCATTAGGCGATTACGGTTATCGTGATTCGTTAATACGAGTGTTCCTGAATATTAGGCACGCACCAGCCAGCCATGCCAAATTCGTGTTTAAAATGGTATGACATGGCGTGCCGTATTATGTACGTAGTTGGGTGTAAGTCGCGTGGCCCATGAATTCATATTTTTCGCTGTATTCTTTCGTGCTAAATGCTAATCATCCGGACCGGCTGGTGCATTGAGGCTGATGAAAATAAAATTGCTTCTTGCTTGTGACCTTTACGTAAGCATGCCGGTTTATCCTGGTTGGACGCGGACAGAACGCGGGCCGCCGACAGTTCGTGATTCGTTAATAGGAGTGTTCCGCCGATCTCAACAGTCGATCTACCGAGAGTTTATAAATTAGTGCTAATAAGGACTATCAACTTACGCATTTCAATTCCGCACAAACCACGGCGCTTATTTCCGAATTGTTGGTTAGAGTACATCATTACCAAGAGCAAGACAGTATGCATTTATATGGAGAAAAAGGTCGACACATTGGTCCCGTGTACCAGTGGAACTCGGTGGATGTGCTGACCGAGAGTGGTCTGTTCCAGCACGGCGAAGTGATCGACGTGGCGGAGAACGGGTTGATCGTGGATTTTCACTGCAGCGGACAGCGAGCGCATTTCGTCAGCTACGGCAAAATCTTTGACGCCTCCGCAAAGTATCGACAAGGGGATAGTGGACTGGAGTGGGGTCGCAAGGCGATGGAAGGCGCAAGACTGCAGGTGCTGTATCGCTCGCATCCGGGTGCTGCTTGGCTATGGTATCCTGGCCGAATGATCAGTCTGGCTATGGTATACGACTATTCCGACATCCGCCTGCTCGTCGCCCAAGTGCAGCATGATGGCCAGGAAGAAACCCATTTTTTCCCAACTGACCAGGTGCGTTTTCCGCTGTCCAAGAAAGATCTGGCCAAACGAGAACTGCAGAAGGACGCTTTCGTGGTGAGAGAAATAGAATGCCGGTTGCCGGAGATTTATTGGTCGACTGGCACATCCGGGCTACATGTACAAATAGAAGATATCACCCGCCGCCGAATCGAAGTGATGTGGACTGTGCACATTGTTTCCGTTGTCAGTGGAATGCTCAGGTTCCTGCAGCGCCGGGATGAATGGCCACTGAATGAAGAAACAATGGTCCATATGAATAATTTTGGCATAGACTAACCAGGGAACATTTTCCGCCTCCAAATACAAAAAATTCTCATTTTTGTAAAATGGTAGTATACTATTGTAGTATGCTTAAAACATTATTCTTGTCTGCCATCGTCAAGGGGGCGTGGCCAGACAACAATTAAAAGTTTGCATACTATCACATACTATGTAATGCAGTGCAGTATATGTTATTATTTTGTAATTATTATGTTAACGTTTTCCTGCAGCACCGTGGACTGTTGCAGCTGTCGAGTAATGATGTAAAAGAAGCAGGGCCTAAAATAGTGGAAAGTCAATGATGGACGCCCCCCTGAGGGGGGACGTTTAGCCTCCCCCCCCTTAGGGGGGCTAGATGATTTTAGCAAAGTGTTTTCGCACTAAAGTAATTCCGTTATTGTTAATTGGTCGATTGCACTTTTTTTTCGTGGTTGGCTTAAACCGTGTTCATTGTACAATCTGGTGTGAGGAATACCGGTATAATAATATTATTATGTGCAGCAATGAACTTTATTGCATTTATAGCTACAGAAAGACTAAAAACCGAAAAAAACTAAAACTAAAAGAATTGCAACTAAAAAAGCGCGCTCAAAACTCGAAGCAGTAGCTTGCATTGCATAATAACACGAGCAATGCATATTACAACCCGGCAAATGCAAGGAGTGAATTTAAGTTTTAAGTTTTTTAAAAACGCCATGGTAATAATCCTGATTACAAGAGGGCGCCGTTTCACGCGGGCGGCGGTCTTTTTCTTTAAGCGACAGCCGCACGGCCGGCCTGACGTCGTATTCACAACCGGCATATTAAACGTTACGTATAGGTATTTACGGACGGTATCGTTTGATAAGCTCGAGCGCAAAGGATCTTTAAGGAGATTATACTTTGAAATTAGTCGCTCCACATCACAGGAATGAGGTGTTGCAGCCAAAAATCGCGCTGGCGCTGTCACTATGGTTTTCCACTGAGGATGAGCAATAGCCACCTGGAATAAAAACTGTGAACTTAATTTTAGCTTCTGCAACGCCCATATGATCTGAATTTGCATGAGGTTATGGCTTCCAACAATCATGTGTGAAATCATATTGTGCTTATTTACCGCTAATGCTTCCCGCGAGGTCGCATTTGGGAACTGATGTGCAATCTCCCGATATTCAAGTGCAAACTCCTCCAGTGATAATTCGGGTACCAGCAATGAATGTGCAATTTAAGTGATTTGCTCGTTACTTTCGACGCAAACTTGACGAGCGGTTTCACTGCATCCAACGTTTCACCATCAATCGACATGCGCTCTTCCACGAAATTAATCAAACTGAGTACAATTTCCGTTCTTACTGCTTGAAAGTCACGGCAGTCCGAAACAAATAAATTAGCGGCTTTACCACGGCGACTTTTCTGTGTAAAAGAAAAACCGCGCCACTCCCACGAAATTCGACCGCTAGAGTCAATTGTTTTTAGCTCTTCACAAAACGACTCTTCAGTGCCGCCGATCAAACCATGCTCACTTGCAAGCAGTGACTGCAAATTTCCGCGCAACATACCGACTTGCATGTCGATATCTGTCAATATGAGGCTGTCTGACTGCAGGTTTTTTTGAAACCGCTTAAAAATACTTACCAGGGCACATTTTCCGGGTCCAAATTCAAAAAAATCTGATCTTTGGCATAAACGTAGTATACCATCGTAGTATATTTAAAAACATAATTTCAGCTGCTGACACTCAAAGGGCGTGGCTAAACAAAATTCATAAGTAAATAATACTGCATGTTATTACTCTGCACTAGCGTTATACCCGCACAGGCTTTTTATAAAATGACAGCATATCAGGAAAGTTTCACCTCTTGCAGAAACGTAGTATTTTGCCACATTATGATTAATGAAAATTTACTGGCAAACGTTAAGGCGACAGAGTATAAAAACCATTTTGTAGCTGCGATTCTTTGCGGTAGTGCAACAGTACGTACCACATATTGCCACTGTATTTGCATCTGGATTTTGCTTTTCCTCACTGTGTGCAGTGCCTTCCCGAAACTTGTGATAAATATTAAAGTTCAATATTTTTTAAGCGTGCTATAGTTGTACACTGTCATTCGGCAAAAAATAAGAATTGCCTGATTTAATATTATTACACTGCTACAAACAGCTGTTAAGAGTACTACACTAGGGCAGTGCAATAGTATGTCCTATTACTTAATTATTAATTTTGTTTGGCCACGCCCTTAGAGTGTCAGCAGCTGAAATCATTTTTTTAAATATACTACGATAGAATACTATGTTTCTGCCAAAGATCAGATTTTTCTGAATTTGGACCCGGAAAATGTGCCCTGGTTAGTGTATCTCCTAATACACAACAAGTACGAACGAAATCTTTGTCAGTCCACACGGAAAGCAACCCTTTCCGTTTCGGAGCATCGTCGGCGCCCGATTGCGAAAAATACGTAAGCAGTATTTCCAAAGAATGCAAAATGGAATCTAGCAGGTTGTATGTGTGTTCAGCGAAACGCA